AAGGCTCTCAGCATTGTAAACCCAAAATCAAGTTGACCCTCATTGTGAAACAGTTAATGATCATACTGATAGTGAAGTCGGTAACTTGGATGCCCCGGATTCACATATTTATGTGAACTGAAATGGTAACTAAGTAATGCTCCAAACTAATCACTCATCCAAGCAACTGGTTGAATGGAATGACTGATGACGTTAGTTTGGAGGCCTCATTCAAATCATCACATAGTAAGAACTCAGAGGATCACCAAGATTGTTCATTTTGCTTATATAATTTTCAAACATTTGATTAAGAAACACCGATGTTGATGTATTCCTGACATGGTTTACTTACTCAAATCCTGCAAGGAGGCCTTGAATTAGTTTTTTCTCTACCATTTTTGTTATTTTGTTTCCACATCCAAAACATATGATATATAAAAAGAGAAATGAACAATAATAACCCCATAACCAAGAGTGAGAGGATCTGCTAATGATTAATTTTTTGTTGTTGTACAATAAACACAAAAGCACAACGTCAACGATCTCTCGAGGCCAAGAACTCACCAATAGCGCCTAACTATGGACACCATTCATCAAAACCTAAGGTTAACGATGTTTTAACTTTGTACCAACTTCCTACTAGAATAAGGTCATATTCGTCAGCGATGGATCGAAGTGTCCATGCAAATTCTGAAGAATCATTCACCACTCTTTCCATGTAAATGACATTATTGCCTTATCCCATCCTCCTGTTTTGCTTGAAATCATGCAATGCCTGAATGTCCTCCGTTTCAGCCTCAAAAGTTTGGTGTTTAGTCTTGATAGATATAAACCTCATTAACTATTAGGCTTATATTATTCTTGTGTTTGGTCATGCACTTTGCAAATTCTAGCACTTCTGGACAATCATTTCCACCAAGAAAGATGGCAGATACATAATACTTTTTTCCTGATGACATCATATAGGTAGAAGGCCCTTCATGACCTCTGCCAACTAGGATTCCACCTGAACAAGGAGCCCTCATCAGAACATTGTGATTCAACGTCCTCAAACTGATATCTTTAGATTCAACTGATCCATCAATAGCCCATCTTTAGAGGAAGGGTAGTATGATTATGGAGGCAAGAACGTTAAGTGCAAGGGTGGATACATCCTCATGCATTAGCTTCCGCGGAGAAATGGCTGTGAGAGATATAGCTTCCAAGTTGTTCTCTTCAAATTTCTTAAAAGCAAAGATGACATTCTCCAAGTAAGAGTCATCTTTGAAATGTGATTTCTTTTGAAGTAGATAGGATATGAAGATTGGTGAAGCACGAAGAGCATTGGCAGTTATGGGATTCTCTAAAGAGGGAGTGGATGCATCAAGTAGTCCAATGATGGCCATAATATTGTCAGAGGAATGGATGCATGCAAGTACCTGTAACTTGCCACTAATTTTTGAATGTATTATGCTTATTTTCTGGTGCCCTGCATATTTCCTTTAGGATCATAGAGCAACCAAACCATAGAAGGCACAAAAGTGCCAACAATTGCGGTGTAATGTACAAGTCCTCATTATAATTTACAAGTGTCAATACGGTGCAGGTTGACTGATTGATCATCTGTAGGACAAATGTACAAGAGAAGTCATGAGTAAATGTACAAGTCTGCATTATAATTTACAAGTAACTTTCGATGGAAAATTATGTAGATGAACAAATTTGATATAGAGGAATGAGTTTGCTTAAAGTGCTGTAGAAATTAACTTACATCTGCATCTCTAAGAAAGCTGTAGGCTGCCAAATCCACCACTCCTTTTATGCTTAGGATGAGACCTAGTGCCACTTAGTAGACAGTGGTTGACACCACCAAAAATAAATTTAACCTACTTAAAACTTATAGCAAGTAGTAAGCAGGGTCGATCCACAGGGACGGTAGTAAATCAGAAAAAAACTTATTAAAGTGTAACTGAGAATGAAACAGAACAAAATGTCACTTGGGGGAGTGAGAAAGTCACTTGACAGAGTGATGAGAAGTTAGGGTCATCCTCCTTGCTCTCTACATGTTCATGTTATGATTTATGTTTTTTTTTTTTTTTTTGCACATATGAGCATTGTCTGATCAAGCACAAATATTCTCTATGTTCACTTTCGATACCGGCAAAGAGTCCCAGCATAACCAAATTAACTATATATCTCAATGTTAATTATTCATTACGACGTCGTATTAAGAACTTCAGCCATAATGATCACCTATGCCTGTCATTGATGATTTAAACTAAGGGGGTTGTTATCGACGTTGTCATAGACTGGTTTAAGCAGTTCTAAATTATGTTCACCCTCTCAGAATTCCGTAATATGCATGCACAATTTGTTAAGTGGCCATTTTAACTAAAAGGTTAATTAAAATATTTGAACTAGATACAATGCTTCTTATAAGAACTTGAATCAAAACATTCACATATAGACAGTAGAGATTAGATTCCAGTGAGAGTTTAGCTACTCGTGATTATTGAGTTAAACATGAGAGAAATAAAATAAAAAGGTTCATCAGAACCCAACTCAGAAGATTAGGAAAGACAGAACAAGAACTATGCAGCAGAGGTTCTGTCTGTTGACTCGGGTAAGTCAACTCGTCACTTTCCCGAGTGACAGTTTCTCCTGTGTACTACAACACTCTGTTTCTTTCCTGTTCCTAACTAACTCTAACTATTTTATTTTAGATCTATTCTAACTTCCCTCTGTGATGTTTTTCATCTGCAATTGATTGTCCTATTTATAGAGATTGGAGGTAGCTTTGTTGTTGCTTCTTCTAGTCTTCTTCAACTTCATCTTAGAGCAACAACTTACACAGTTGGAGTTGTTTATTTGAGCAACTTGTCCACCAACTTGGCCGCCCTTTTTCTCCTTAGCCGCAGAATCTCATCATTTCCTTCCTTCTTGATCTTCTTCTCGGTGCCTCTCCCTTATTCTAGCCACCAATTCTCTTTTCTTCTTTCTTTAATCCTTCAGCCAGCAATAGAATCAACAGCAGCAGGAACATTAGCCTCAGCAGCATGCTTCTATTTAATCAAATGGTTCCCTCTCTTTCCTTCTGCTGTAGCCCCCAAATTGGCCTTCAATCTTCTGCTCTTCTTCTATCTTTGTCAAGATCAGCTGCAACAGTGGTAATTCCCAGTTTCAACATCAGCAACCTCTTCCTTAATTCTTGCTTCTTTGTTTATTAGAAACAGCAGCAGAGTGGCTGTAATTGAGCTCTATATTCTTTCTCTTTCTCTTCTTCAACTTGCAGAGATCTAAAACTTGTGATGACAGAGCATTATTCTCCCTTCTTCAGCAGCCGTTCTTTCTCTCTTCTTCGATCGATTCAAATCAGCAGCAGTAGCAGAAACAGCAGCATGCTTCGACTTGCTGCAACTTCTTCTTCTTTTTGTTGGCTTCCACTTGCAAAGAATTCATAACTTGTGATGATCGATAAACAATCTTCCTTTAGCAGCCTGAAGTACTCTCCTCTGCCTCCTCAATTGATCAGTTCCATCCTCTAATTCCAACAACTCCAATTCTGGTCCTTTTTTATGCTCTATTTTACCTTTTGGACCAGCAATTCTAAAAAATTTCACTTTGGCCCTTTGATCACTTTGAAATGCAAAATTAACTCAAAAGTAAATTAATTTTACTTAATTGACACTAATTTACAAGTGAAAATAAATAAGAATTTCTTGCTAAAATTGGTCAAATTTAATTGTTCTCACTACTGCATCATTTAAGGGCATTTTGTAATACAATGCAACAAAAGCAACATGATATTACTTTTGATGAGAACGCGGCCAAGATGAGGGTAATAGGAGGAATAGAGTAGCTGATCTGTGATAGATCTGCCCTGAAGGCTACCAGAGAGATGAATGTAGGCTAAAGCACACTAGAAAAGAGTGCATCCAGCTTGTTAACCAAAGTAGATCGTAATGGCGGCCCTTCAGATACGGCCAATATAGTACAAGGCCCGAGTAGCACGGCTTTCTCAAACTAGTAAGAGATTACTTCAGAAACAAGGGCAAGAAGAAAAGTCAAGAATAAATAAAAGTCCTGGATTGCCCTTCCCTCTGGTGTCTGTTTTACCGCCCATATGAAGGCTTGCCGCAGTAGGAAAATCACGAGGAGGATGAAACTGATACAAACCATTACATCAAAAACTGCACGCCCACGATCACTGTGATATATGCGATAGAATAAGGTGGTTGAGTTATAAATAAGTTGAAGCATGTGTGTTATTAGAGCATAGGACAAAGCTAATCGACCAAGCTCTAAGTTGAGAATTTGAGATATTTGAGGAGGAGAGTAACAACTGGGAAAGCAGTCATAGAGTTGGCTTTTGAATGCTGACATTATTCGGCAGACTTGGTGTGACATCACTCCCCTTCTTTGGTAGATCAATTGGCAATGATTTCAGAGTAAACCAACCAACAGCCATGGGTACTACTAGATTTATAATCCCAACTACCAGTTTTTTCGATCCTGTTTTTCTCATCATTCCAGTGTCCATTTTGACTCCACTTAGGAATTCGAAAAGCAAGTATCCAAAAGCGCAGAATGCACCCAGGGTGTCTTGAGTTGCTACAGGGAAACAAAAACTTTTGATAACTCTCTCTTCTCCGGGGCTGCCGATCCAAGTATTAGATCAACCTAAACACCACAAGAAAATTAAATATATCTTAGAAAGAATATGAACACATATATTGTGTTTTCATTTATATTGTAAAAGGTTTTTGTAGTACCTGTACAATGATGCAGAATGCATGAATAGTAAAACGGGAACAACTCAAGAGAACTATAAATGATAGGGGAAAAAATCATTGATAGATTATGGACTATATGATCACCATCTGGGAAATACACGAACTTGACATTTGTAAAAATCACTTCAACACGAAGAACAACCAAAACATGCAAGAGAAAGGTCGAAATGTCATGTAGTTACAGATATTTCAGAGACTATCTTCGAAAGTCCAAGTTGCTTTAGAGGAAAATGAAATAGGTGATTGAGAATGAAGATGATGACTAACTGCAATTCAAATATAGGCAAGGAATATGCAAAAGGATCTCTGAGCTTGGCATCCGAGAACAAGCATCCCATCGAATTCACCTTTGAAGGCTTCCTCACACATACAAGAATAGGGTGTGACGCATCATCATCTGCCATGTTTGGTAACTGCCTTTGGCGGCACCATCTTGGACGAGAGATGGTAGCTCAAGAGGGAGAAATACAAGACTTAAACATTTGAACATGTTTCACATATGAAAGAGGTAAAAGCAATTTTCAACCTATTCGTTGCTTTAGACACTTTTGTTTTCCCGTGATCGTGATGGAGACTGCACATACATGGTTCATTATCATGGAAACTGCCAAATCAATCACTGCATGGATCACTATTTTCACTTTGAAGTGAAACAAAAGAAGGAGAAAAACAAAAAAGGAAGAAAAAAGTGCATCGTGAAAATCAATCTTTCATCAGAAATCAACTAACAGAAGGGACTCCCACAAAAGGAGTTTTGACTTTCTACGCAATTTTGGTTCCTAAACTTTAGGGGGCCCACAATGTCAGACTCACCATTAAATTTCGACTGACAAAATTAGTCATTATCGTTTCATTTATTCACCAATTTTAGTCAATTTAATGGAATTTATAGTCAACTAATGCTCAACTTTTTTCTTCGTTAAATTTTTTAATTTTTTATTAATTTTTTACTGAATTGGGCCCGCAATGTATTTTCAAACAACAAAATCACTTCCCTAACATCTTTTTTCTCAACAATTTCAGTCACTTTAACAAGATTTTCGAACACCTAATGGTCCAATTCATTTTTTCGTTACAGTTTTTTTTTTATTTCTTAATGGATTGTGAGTCCTAGAGGTCTTTGATCAGAAATTAAAAAAAAAAAAAATTAAAGGAATAATAAAAGTATTTTCGGCCAACTCTGAATATGATCTGTTCATTATTGAATTTCACGGTTTTTTCTGAGTTTTTTTTTTATCAAATCAGAAAAACTAAGATAAAAAAAAGCCGTGAATTCTAGAATCAACAATGAATATTCAGCGATACATCACTGCAACAAGAACAAAATGTTTGTGATAAAATCGAAATTAAGAAAACAAAAGAAAGAAACGATGAAAGGGGTGTCTCAAACAAAGAGAGCTGGTAATTAATTAGATTACCCGAGAAATAAATTCAAAAAAAATCCAGCAACGAAAACGATCAATAATAAAACTCTCTTTTTGGGCTACTTTGCCGGCAGGGAGGTGATGATGAAACGTTAGGGAGCACAATATTTGGGGTTTAGGAAGTTGCCGAAATAGTTTTATCAATCCTTGAATTTGTTTTTTTTAAAAAAAAAATCTGATAAAAAACCTATGGGACCCAGAATCTATTAAGAAATCAAGAAAAAAAGATTTAACGGAGAAATGAATTGGACCATTAAATTTTTAAAAATTCCGTTAAAATGGCTAAAATTATTGAAAAAAAGATATTAGAGAATTGATTTTGTTATTTGAAAATAAATTGTGGGCCCTTTAGTAAAAAGTTAATAAAAAATTAAAAAATTTAACGAACAAAAGATTTGACCGTTAGTTGACCATAAATTCTGTTGAATTGACTAAAACTGATGAATAAACGAAAAGACGGTGACCAACTTTGTCAGTCGAAATTTAATGATGACTCGAAATTGTGACCCTCAAAGTTTATTGATAAAAAATGCAATTTGTCCTTCTCTAAATAAACGTTTTCCATAAATTAGACATCACTATATTTCTTTGTTGGCCTCATCATACAGGTATTGCTATATCATTGCGTTAGTACAAGATCTCAACTTTATAAATATATCTCTCAAGAAATGATTCTGCAAGCAGAAAAATATGGCAAACCTGCATCTGCTAATTATGAGGCGTGTTTTGGGGAAAGCAAGTTCCAGCTAACATCCCAGAGAATTTAAATTCGTAACATCTGTTAATTTGATAGACGAGGGGTCAATGCATATAGGACAAGGTTCCTAACAAATATCGGGTAAAGATCTCAGATGAATCCTGTATCTTCTAGCTGTAATGGAAGTCCATTCAGTAGAATGGTTTTTCCTTGGAGTTCTCTTTCTTTCTAAGTTACATGGTACTCTTTCCTAGATGAGTTTTTTTATATGCTGCTTTCCTTCCAACGCATGCATCAGTTTACTACATATTGCGGACCAACAGATTTCTTGCCTTCTGTTTTCTCTTCCTCAAGTAAGCTCCCACAAGGACATACACAATCTCACAAAATTAAAAAGAAAGTATGTTTTCTTAGATTAATCTGGAGATGCTAAATAGAGGTTACAAACATGAATTAACTACATATCCTAGGGTAAGCATACCTAGAGAATGTCTTTTCTTGACTGGAAGTGCCTCATTAATCATACATGAGTGTTCCAAAAGCAAAACAATGTGCTTCTTTTGCTTGAGTTTATCTACTCTCATAAACTTACAAACTATTAACTCCGTCCCAAAAAAAAATAGTCCACATTCAGTTTTAAGATTTGTACTAGTTTTAATACAAATTTGAAAACTTAATGCGAACTATTTTTCTAGGACGGAGGTAACAACAAATAGAGGACAGGCAATTATATCCTGAACCAATATTTGATACCATGGTGGAATCTGAATATACATCCGTGCCAAAAATATACTACCTCCATCTCAAAAAAATATAGTTTTCATAGAGTTTTCAAATTTGCACTAAAAACAATACAAAACTCAAAACTCAATATGAACTATTTTTGTGGGATGGAGGGAGTTCAATTTAATGGAAGCAAATTAGCGAAAGATCTTGATTCCCAATAAAACAGCCATCCATAATTATGACTAAAATCCAGGCTTATATAATCAAGGAATTCATAGCTCAGTTTCTCTGCTACAGCTAATTAGAAATGGGATATCATGCAAAATGCATGCAAACAAATTGATTAAAACACCAGTATCAGCATATTCTTATGGCGTTAATTAGTCAGTATCACTACAGTGTCTAGCTGGTTTTTGTTCATTGTTATGATGAGATGATACAAACAGTTAAAAGCTTCATGTCACCTGGCATAAATAAACATATTCCAAAAAACCCCTCAATCAACTTCATCATTAACTAACACAACATATATACAGTGAATTCTAAGAAACAGAAAAAAAAAAAAAAATCTTGAATGGGAAGATAACATTACAAACTTAGGAAAGGGCGAACAGTTACTGCATTGTGTACAACAAAGGAAAGAGCAACTGATTTGAATGATACTGAATTAGGGGATGTCAGCAATACTAGACAAAGCAATTAACACCATATCTAAAGTTGGCCAACCCCGCCGCCCCCAAACAAAAAAATAAATAAAGAAACAAATAAATAAAATTTCTGTGTCTTTGTAAATTGGGAATGCTGTTGCAGCTTTTGATAGAATCAGGTCAGGTCTATTTTTAACAATAGGGCACTCACAAAAGCTGCAAAGCATTCATGTGGATTAGCAAATTATACAACCTGTTAAGAAATGCGTAGGAAATGGAAGACTCGGTTAATTCTATCCTGAAAATCCACAAAAATCTTAACATAAGAAGATTCAAGATTTCCAGAAACAAATTAAAAATCCGAAATTAATCTACAGATTTGCGATAAAACAACTTGTTGTCCTACGCAGAAAGAAAGCAAAATTAACTCCTTCTGCAGACTCACATTTGAAAATGAAATTATTTCGGGCGGCTCTTCTCTCAAAAACAAAACTAGCAGAGGAAAGCTGCCTTTGCAACATAAAAATTTTGGTCTGATTAAGAGATTCCCATTGGAGGCACCACTTTTTCTGATCATTTAGAACATGGAAAGCTACTGCTCCCGAAACTGTGGCGATCAAGTGATTGTCAATAGTAATAAAGTTGGCTCTAGATTGGATTGAATCTTTCACGTCCAAAGCACAAATCCTATTTCTTACCGTCTCAGGAATCATTCTAGATTTCTCTTTATATGATCTCTTTAGATTCTTATGCGTGCGGTAATTTCTCCCCTAAAAAATACTTACACTAGTAGCCAATAAACAACGGTAAGCTACATTAACCAGGTGTTTATGTTAGAAAAGGACCTTTTGGGTAATGAGAAAAGCACCTTTGGGTGATGTGTTTATAAAATGAAAATGGAAGAGGAGATGAAAATAATTGCCTCCCAAATTAACTATTCTATCCGTTCTAAAATTATAAAACAGTTTGAATTTTCACTTTTAATGTAATTTATACTAAAAATAAAAATCTAAAATAAATAATCATTTTGAGACGGGGAATACCTACCAATATTTTGGTCCGTCACAAGTTGACCTTGGATCCATGCATTGAAGGAGTTACGATTTTGACCACAACGTTCATTCATTGTGCCATGAGTATAGCCTTATATGTTCTATTCCTTTTCTTTTTAACTAATTTATAGCATTACCACTCTAATTTTGTCCCAAAAAAAAAAAAATAAAATAAAGCATTCCCGGTGTAATGTTTCTCGAGTACAAATGGTGAATGCCCTCGGGTGTTCAAAGGTTCCAATGTGTCCTTTACTAGTACTACTAATCTATTATTATACTCCTTACAAACCACTGAGCCCACTAAGTTCCATGTTATGTAAGCTTTTTCATCAGCTTTCACACCATTGTCTTTCTTTTTGTCTGTTCTTTTTTGCCACCTTTTTCCATTTGGATTCGGGACTCTGATACATTGGACGATTCCTCTTTTCTTCCTAATATGGACTTTTGAGCTAAAATTTGTAATGGCAAGAGTGTGAACTGATCATAAAGTTTCAGTTGTTAGGCTGAAATGTAATAGCTGGCCCGCTCACGTCTGCCAATTTTCTCCATTCTTTATGTATAGAAACATGTGCGAGCGAACCAGCTAAATCATAGTTTAATAGAACCAAAAAAAGCTATGCTATGAGGTGAAGGGCCAAGAGGCTATAAGTCTGCAGCAGTTTCACTTACTATTTTACATTCACAGTTTCTCAGAGAACCTTTTCTTGAGAGATACAGAGAAAGCAGAGGAAAACAGAGAGTGAAAAAACAGAACAAGGAAAATGGCTCACATTTCCCCCGGAGTTGACGCCGTCGTTAAAGAACTCGGTAGGCTAGACATTCAATCTGGCTTTTCTGAAGTTCTTCTTCACGAGTTGAGATTCCTGATCAGGTTTCTATTCTGGCTGTGGGATTGCAAGAAAGCTAGAATCAAACCTTATCTTCGCAATGCTACTGATGCTCTTGAAGCTGTTCTGAGAGAAGCTGGTGTTATTGCTGAACGCAAAGACTTAGGCGATGTTAAAGATTGGGATTCTGTGGCTCCTGCTTTACTAAACAAATTGGAGCAATTCGAGCCGGAGATTAGAAAAATCGGTTCTCTTTCTTTGGACTCGCTAAGATCCACGTCTTGCTCAAGCGACGAGATTCTAGAACTCGTTAATGATCTTGTTTGGAATTTCAAGGATTTTGCAAAGCTGAAACCTGATATTCATGATTCCGCGAAAGAAAGAATCTGGGTTGTTGTCAGAAAACTCAGAGTCCTGAGAAGCCTTGTACATTTCTCTGCAAAAGGGTTCAATAACCATCAGTTGATGGAAAACTTTCTGATTTGTGCCAAAGATTTGATGCACAATGCAGCATTTTTGTCCCTTTTCTTCTTACTGAAAGGGAAGGATGGGACGATGGCCCAAGAATGGGAAACTGTTTTTTCTGATCAATTGGAGAAGTGTATGCCTCGCACTCCAGAAGTCGCAGAGATGTTTGTAGGGTTCCTTAAAGCTTCAAGACCAAGGAGATCTGACAAGATTCCGGTCGGTCAAGACATTGTCAGCCTTGTTGATCTTCTTTTACTGAAAGGTTCAGACGTTGATCCTTTGACGGATCGAACTGAAATTCTTAAAGAAGGGTTGATATTTGCCATATCTTTCCTCAAGGATCCAGAAGAGGAAGCTGTAACAAATGCTGGAGATGGATTTCGCCGTGGAATCGATGTTGCACTCACTAAGGTAATTCTGTACAACTTCTTACACTGCATTTATTTCTGACCAATGACCATTATGTTCTATTCTTATTCATGCTTATTTCTTTAGTCTATTAAATTGTTTGGCATTTTCTGGCTTAGGGCCTACTTACCAATGAGATTGTTTTCACAAACTAATTTGGTAAGAGCATATGAAAAAAACTTGGCTTGTCCCCAAAATTCTTCAAAAACATGCAAAAAGTACAATCATTGTGATCATTAAGCACTCCAAATTAGAATGGAAGGACTGAAGGAGTGTAAGTTCACTTAACAGCATTACAGCAAACAACTATGGGTTGTTTTCTATTTGAAAGACAAGCGCTTTGTGCTTGTAAAGAAAATCATCCACAATCTCTCAGTTTTTAACATATCAATTTGATTGAAACTAAATTCATGTACATCTTATCATCAGTATAAAGTAAGGATTCTTTAAGTAACATTACTGTATGTAGGTTAAATCCTACTAATAAAATTCAGGGTGTCACATCATGTCACAGGTATTATCTCTCCTTTTCTCTTTATACATGGACGGATTAGAAGTGGATATCTCTAGTCTCCAAGAAAAGATTGACCGAGTGAAGGCAGAGATTAGAAAGCATAATATGCCGCTTTTGAATTCACCAAACTTCAGATTTCCATCGACAAATGCTACAGGATTCATCAGTTTCTTGTTGAAGAATATGGAGCAAATGGTAAAACACAATCACGAAAAACTTGCTTTCGCAGGGCATCGAGTTATGATTGTCCATGAGGAGCTTATTTCCCTTCAACCATTCCTTGAAACTATCTTAGAGCTGCAGAAAGAGAGAGGAGATGTAGAAGCTCTTTGGACTCAAATTATCAATACGATCTTGCTAGCAGAGTATGTCATCAGCTCCTGTTTAGTAACAGATTACCCTATTTGGTGTGATATGTTATGGCTTTCAGATGTAATGGAGGCTATCAAGCTCATTCGAATCGAGGTGAACAAATACAGTGATCAGGTGATCAACAACACCAAAATATCAAGACGTGTCACAAGTTTCATTCACCTTTCCGTGAGTAAAGCAAATCCATCAAACTTTGATGATGTTGTGATCGGTCGCGAAACAGAGTTAAAGGCGATAATTGAGAGACTCAACAGAGGGACAAGACAGCTTGACATTGTCTCCATTGTAGGTATGGCTGGCCTCGGTAAGACCACTGTAGCCCGAAAAGTTTACAATGATCCATGTCTCAAATATTACTTCAGTGTACGAGCATGGTGCTGCATTTCTCAGGTGTATAACCTTAGGGAGCTGTACTTTGACATTTTAAGTGATGTAACTGGTGGTGATGCTCGCCAATCTTACTCTGGTAGTACTGATAATGACTTGGCTGAAACACTTCGGAAAAGACTGAAGCAACAAAAATATCTCATTGTGTTGGATGACATTTGGAGCGTTGAAGCTTGGAATAGCTTAAAAGATTCATTTCCAGATGACAACAAGGGAAGCCGTATCATGTTCACTAGCCGGATCCATGATTTGGTATCACAAGCAAAGCCGAATTGCAGTCCCCATCCGCTTCGCTCACTTTCTGATGAGGAGAGTTGGGAGTTATTGCAAGGGAAACTATCACTGTCCCCCCTTAACAATGACCTGGCAGAAATAGGTAAAAATATTGCCAAAAACTGTAAAGGGTTACCTTTAGCTGTGGCTTTGGTTGCAGGTATCTTGTCTGGTAAGGACAAAGAATTCTGGAAGCAGATTGAATCTTGTACAAGTTCACAAGTTGTTGGTGAAAGGTGCATGGATGTGCTTGAGCTAAGCTACGCGCATTTGCCAAATAATCTGAAACCGTGTTTCCTCTATTTCGGAGCATTTCCAGAGGATACGGTTGTCAAAACCCGAAAGCTCATTAGTTTATGGATTGCAGAAGGGCTAATTCCAAGAGATGATGACCAAACGAACCTGTACGAAGTAGCCGAGCAATACTTGTCTGATCTGATTAGTCGAAATCTAGTAATACTTGCAGAAAAGAGTTCCATTGGTGGCATAAAAGCATGTCGTGTCCATGATCTACTCCATGATCTATGCTCAGCAAAAATTCAAGAGGAAAATTTTCTACAATGTGTGCGCGATAGCGATGTTTCTCATTCTTCATCGGAAGCCAAGACGTATGAGAATTATCGCTTGTCTGTTCATGCTAAACTGACCGAGTTCATTGATACTAAACCTGTAGGTACCTTCGTCCACTCTCTAGTTTTTTGTGGCAAAGAAAATACAAGGGATGAGCTTTCATATACTGTTTTCAAAAGTTTTAAGCTTCTTAACGTTCTGGACTTGGAGCTCTTCGAATCACATGGCGATTTTCCTCGCGAAGTAACATTCATGGTTCATTTGAGATACCTAGCCATTGCGTGCAAGGCTGAAAAGCTTCCAGAGTCCATTGTCAACATGTGGAATCTAGAAACCTTAATTCTGCCAGGTATGGACATTTTCTTGCCGGAATTCTTTTGGCGAATGAAAAACCTGAGGCAGGTATACATTAAAAGGCTGTATATAAACGGTATTGCGGATCATGAATTTGGCCAACTTAAGAACTTGGAGGTTTTGTCAGTACCATATCTAGGTTCAAGAGATGAAGTAAAGGAATTACTGAGAAGGTTGCCAGGACTTCGGAAGCTGAGGTTTAATCTTGAAAACACTCACTCCTGCAAGTTTCATGAACTGAGCAGCCTGACCCATCTTGAATCAGTTACCGTGTTCCCCAATTTTCATGTAAGTCGCAAGATGGTAAAGTACGAGTTTCGATCATTTGATTTTCCTAGTAGTCTCAGAAAATTGACCCTGAATGGGTTGGAAGTAGAATGGAGTCTTATATCATCTATAGGGAAGTTGCCTAATCTGGAGGTTCTCAAACTAAATTCAAATTCATTTATAGGAAACAGGTGGGATGTAGAAGATGGCCAGTTTTTGAACCTTAAGCAGTTGGAACTCAACTGGTTGAAAATTAGAAAATGGACTTTCCAAGATGAACCATTCCCTAGCCTTGAACGACTTATAATGACATTCTGTTTCGAGCTTCGCGGGATTCCAGCTAGTTTAGGATACATTCCAACCTTGGAGAAGATAGAGATGATCTGCTGTTCCCCAGCCTCCTCAATATCAGCCTGTAAAATTTTCAGGGAACAGCAAGAAATGGGAAATGAAGTCCTTCAACTTGTTATAAATAAAGAATATCATGAAATTGATGATGATGATGATGATGTTGACGATGATGGTGATGAAGAAGAAGAAGATGATGATGATGAAGATAAAGATGTTTTGTTTTCTGGACCTCGGCGGGCTTTGTGGAAATGGGATTAAGATTAATTATGTTTCTTTTTTTTTTTGAGGAGTAATTATGTTTCTTAGATGAAAGAAATTTTAGGGGGAATTTTATATCAAGGACATTAGAAAAACAAAAATTATTATTAAGATACATGATTAGCGGCAACACTTCCGTATCAAAACCCTCTTCTTTAGCACTCTTTTATATTCTCACAACCAACACCAACCTAATATGCAGAAAAAAAGAAGCAAAGAAAAACCCACTTCTTCTTTAGGACCAACTCAGAAAAAAAAAAGACCTTGATGACACGAGTAATTAAAAGAAAAAGGATTGAACATATTCCCGAGTAAATTAATTTTAATCAAACAAAAAAAATTTTAAATGAGTTAATGCGACCGTGCCTAATAGAGATTGCGGTGGCAGAAAGGGAGGATAATAAAGTATTTTTGTTTAGTGAAAAGGATAAAATAGTCATTTTTGTAATTAAAGTAATAATAAAGTATTTTTTTTTTTGGTTGCTTGCCACGATCTCCGGAGCTTTGCCCCGACTAATCCGTTGGTCGACCCGGGTCGCACACCTAGCTGTGGTGGGTAGAGTATTTTTTTTTTTTAGTAATAAAGAACTTACCCTTTTTAATAATTTTAATTTTTCCTATGCCTTTATTGATAATTTTTATATGTTATCTATTTTTTTTTAAAAAAAAATATTTCGTTATCTAAAAGCTCTGTTTGTATATGAGATCTTACCTAATTACAAAATTCTTGCATGAATGTTTTCTGACACTAATTGATATCAATATCTTCTAATTTGTCATGGAAACTTTAGTTCTTTTCCATTTAACATACTATTTAGCTTATTCGATATCTAAAGAATCTTATGTTCATCTTTATTTTCACATAGTTCCAAGAGGACATATCCGCCAAAACGACTACACAATTGCAATTCCTACTAATATTTTGCAAATTTAAGTAAAAAGAGGGAATAGAATGAACAAAAAAAAAACATAAGGGAGGAGATACAATTTTCATAAGTGAGGACATTTGACTTCATAATGGATAAATTTGGAAAGGAAGAAGTAATTGATTTGGCAAAATAACCTCCTTCTTTATATGGCGTTGTTAAAATGTTCTAAAACTACATTAAAGTCGAACTCAAAACTTTGAACTTAAAAGAGAATAATTAGAATTTTTATTCATAATTCCACCATTTTAACCGGATACATGATAGGACTCAAAATAACTGGAACTCGGATACAGAATAGAGTTTCGGTCAACGCTAGTGAAGGGGGTGTAAAATGTAGATCGCCCTTTAATGTGAACTGTGCGGATAAGAAACGCATGGACATTGTTCTAAAGTCAGTTTAACAGCCATCCCCATTTTCTTGAGTGAGAGAACTGAGTTGGAATTAAAGAATGGACCAGACTTCCAGTGGATTTGATTCAGTTGTTGAAGAACTCCAGTGGCTAGAGATTCAAACTGGGTTTCCTGAAGTTCTGCAGCAGGAATTGAGATTCCTGAAGATGTTTATGGTCTGCCTGACCAAGTTTGAGGAAGCTGGCAAAGACAACCATTTGGCCAATGCGGTTGCTAGTCTTGAAGCTGGTCTTTCTATTCTAATGAGGGAGAACGAGGGGGAAGATTCGGAATCCGGGTCTCGTATTTTGCTGAAAAATTTTGAGCAGCTTAAGCCTGAGATGACAAATAAGTGTGGTGTTCTGCTTGACTCATTCAGATCCATTTCTTGTTCAAGTAATGAGATCCTGGAATTAGTGGATTGTGTGGTTGGGAACTTCCAGGATCTCGCCATATTGAAAGCTGATGTTCTTGATTCCGTGAAACACCGAATCTTGCTTCTTGGGAGAAAGCTCTGTTTCTTAAAAGCCCTTATTCCAAAGAGATGCATTGAGCATCATCACAGCGGACTGGAATACGTTTTGAATTATGTGAAGGGTTTGGTGCACGACGCAGCAAATTTGTCCCTATTGTGCTTGCTGAAGGACAAGGATGAAATGATGACCAAAGGATTACATGCTGTGTTTTTGGATATGTGGCACATGTTCATTCCTGGCAATGCAGAGGTTAAGGAGATGTTCCGAGGGTTCTACCTAGCAACAAGTTCTCACAAGTTTGAAGCCGGCCAAATCGCTACCAGTCTTGTTGATCTTCTACTAGAAGGTTCAGCTGATCATTTTAATGATCATGTTGAGATGCTTAGAGACGGATTGATAGTGATTGTGAGCTTTTGCTTAGATCCAGTTGATGAAAAAGATAAAGCTCTTACAAATGGTGGAGATGGTCAAATAGAGGAAGCCATCAATGAGGTACTCTCTCTCATTCTCTCTATTCACTTAGATGAATCCAAAGTGGATGTCTTTAGTTTCCTAAAAGCTATTGAAAAAGTGAAGGTGGAGATTAGAAGGGTTTATGTCCCAATGCTGAATCCATTGGACTTCAACTTCCCAATGACAAATGCTATAGGATACATCAATTTCTTGTTGGAGAATTTGAAGGACATGGTGAATTGTAATCCCCATAGAATTGTATTTACAAAGCACCAGGTTATGATGATCCTTGATCAGATTCATTCTCTTAAACCATCCCTTGAAATTGTCACGGAGTTGCAGAAAGTGAGGAAAGACCTCAATGAGTTTTTGAAACAATTTATCAACACAATGTTCCTAGCAGATCATGTCATCAGCTCATGCTTACTAATAGATCATCCTATTTGGTATGACATGTTAAGGCTATCAGATATAATAGAGGGGATCAAGTTCATTCAAAAAGAGGTGCAAAGGTACAGTGATCACATGCTTAACGCCAGAATGTCAAGTACTGAGATGGATTCTAGTCCTATTCAGGTGAGGCAAGCAAATACTTCAAACATTGAAGGTCCCGTAGTAGGTAGGAAAGATGAGTTGGAGATGATAATTGAGAAACTCAAGAGAGGGACAGCACAGCTTGACATTGTCTCCATTGTAGGTATGCCCGGTCTCGGAAAGACCACTATAGCGAGAAAGGTTTACAATGATCCATCTATCATATATTACTTCCATATTCGTGCGTGGAGTGTTGTTTCCCAAGTCTATGAGCTTCGAGAGTTGTACTTTGATATTTTAACTGATGTCGCTGGTGTTGATGCTCGAAAATCTTACTCCAACAATACTGATGATGATCTGGCTGAAAAACTCAGGAAATGTTTGAAGGGACGGAGGTATCTCATTGTTCTAGATGACATTTGGAGCATTGAACCATGGGATCGCATAAAATGTTCATTTCCAGACGACAACAATGGAAGTCGAATTATTTTTACTACTCGAATCCATGATTTGGTGTCACGAGCAAAGCCGAGTTGCAGCCCGTGTCCTCTTCGTTCACTCTCTGATGAAGAGAGTTGGGAGTTACTGCAAGGAAAACTATTCCATGGGCGTAGTTCCTCCCTCGACGATGACCTAACAGAAATAGGCCAAAATATTGCCAAAAATTGCAAGGGGTTGCCTTTAGCAGTGGTTTTGATTGCAGGTACCCTGGTAGGCAAAGACAGAGACTTTTGGAAGCAAATTGAATCTCGCACAAGTTCACAAGTTGTTAGTGAAGAAGGGTGTATGGATGTGCTTGAACTAAGCTACAAGCATTTGCCAGATAACTTGAAACCTTGCTTCCTCTATTTCGGAGCATTTCTAGAGAACACAATTGTTAGAGCCCAAAAGCTGATGAGTTTGTGGATTGCAGAAGGGTTGATACCTAGAACGGGCCAAAAGAGCTCCTATGAAGTGGCGAATTGTTACTTGTCTGATCTCATTAGTCGAAGTTTAGTAATTCTTGAAGAGAGAAGTTCCGCTGGTGGCATAAAAACATGTCGTGTTCATGATCTGCTGCACAATCTATGCTCGGTCAAAGTTCGACAAGATAACTTTCTACAATGTCTGCATCACGATGATGTTTCTTCTTCTTCCTGCTCAAAAAAGTTGGAGAAATATCGCATATGCATTTATGCTGAATGGATCGAGTTCGTCGACGCTACACCTAAAAGTCCGTTCGTCCACTCTCTAGTTCTTTTTGATCGTCGGGTTCGTAGATGGCTTGATTGTCCATGGGGCTCTGCAATTCTTACCAACTTTAGGCTTCTTAATGTGTTGGACTTGGGACTCACCGAAGTAGCCAGTCCTTTTCCTGAGGAAATAACACTGATGGTTCATTTGAGATACCTAGCAATCTTGTGCAAGGATGACATTCCAGAATCCATTGCTAATATATGGAATCTAGAAACCTTGATTTTGCCGTATTCAAAGGTTAACTTGTCGGAGTTCTTCTGGCGCATGAAAAGCTTGAAGCGCGTAGAAGTTTCCGGGATGTATTTGGATGGTATCGAGGATCAGGCAGACGGACAACTAGAACACTTGGAGGTTTTGTCGGGAATATATCTTTATTCGGGAAATGAAACAAAGGAACTACTGAGAAGGATGCCGGCGTTGAGAAAGCTGAAATACTTTCTTTGCTCCACCAATTCCTCCAAGTTTCCAGAACTCAGCAGCAACCTCACCCGCCTGGAATCTGTTACCGTGTTGTCCTATGCTCAAAGGTCGAAAGAATACGGCTTTCTGGCTTTTGATTTTCCTAGTAGACTCAAGAAACTGTCACTTGAAATGTTGTGCCTGCGATGGAGTCTCGTATCAACGATTGGGAAATTGCCTAATTTGGAGGTTCTCAAATTGAACAGAGCATTTAAAGGACAGAGATGGGATGTGGAAGACGGCGAGTTCTTGAACCTTAAGCACTTGCAACTCGGACCGTTAGACTTTGAAGAATGGACTGTGCAAGATGAGCCATTCCCTAGACTTGAACGACTTTTGGTGAGATACTGTAGGGAACTTCGCTGTATTCCATTCAGTTTTGGAAACATCCTTACATTGGAGAAGATGGAGGTGCGTGGGTGTGCCCGAGCCTCAAGATCCGCCTGGGAAATTTTCACAGAACAGAAAGAAATGGGAAATGAAGTTCTTGAACTTGTCATTGATGTGGCTTATGATGATATTGAAGGAGAACAAGAAGAAGAAGAAGAAGAAGAAGAAGAAGAAGAAGGAGATGATGATGAATGATCATGATGAAGAACCAATGTGTGTTTTTGTGTAGTCCCTAGAACATCTGTAGAAATTGATTGTGTTTTCTAAACACTCTGGGCCATATTAGCTAGATTCATTACAAAATTCTTTCTCATATACACATTTTAATATTTAATTTAGAATATATATTAAGGGTGATGATATTGCCAGGAAAGTAATTAGCTGCCAAGGCAAAAAATAGCTTATATTTCTCATATTACCCTGATTAGTTAAATTGAATTTTTTTTCTCTCTCACCTCTTAATGGTTTTGGTTTCAAGTCGTCCCCTCCCTCTTCCCTTCCATTCTTTCTCAGATCGAAAATCTTTATGAAAAAAATAGGAGCAGAACAAACTTTCAATGTGTTACAATCCAAGAAACCTCGGCCTAATGTTCATTTTTCCCTTGTAAAGCAAAATATATCGGATTTGGAGTTTGTCTATCTATAAATTTTTTTCTCTCATTATTGGAATTTGGGAATCATTTGGAAATGCTCAAGATAATAGAATTACAGCAAGTCAATCCACTGAAAGAACATTCCGCCTCAAATTTTATGCTGCCTTTTTTCCATTCACCCAATTGTAATTCAACTGTATTCTTTAGCATCTCTCTGAAGCCCTAATTTTCATCAAATTGGCCATGGTCATAATAAAAATAGAATTTAAAGTCACCTCTTTTTTTTTCTCCCCTTGGGTTTTATCAATCTTTCTAGTGTGCTCTAATTCTCCCACAAAGTTGGCTATTGCGGTTTATTGAATTTGGATTTCTTTGGACTTTTAATGAGTTTGTAAAAGTATAAGTATCATTAGTGGTGAATAAAGACGGTGATGGAATCATGATTGGTCATAGATTGTGGGGAAAAGAGATGTCAGGTATATAATAGGATAATACTTGTGGGCATGGGAAATTAATTGCAAGGACATTGGTTATCATCAATGGAACATGAAGAAGAAAGAGGGGAGCAGTGGAGGACCGGCGGGGAGAAGAGAGGACTAGAAGAGAGGCGTAAAACAAGCAGTTGACTCATTAAGGGTAGTACATGTCTTTTTTGCTCTAGAGTCTAATAACTGCTCTGGCAGTATCATTAGCCATGTATTAATTAGAACAGAGGGAGTAGAAAAGATTATCAAAATGTGTTACACTCGAAAAATATTGAATAATTATGTCTAGTTTGAGATTTTATTTTTAGTTCAAACTGTACTAAAATTGAAATTTCAAACTGAACAACAATTTCGACATGGGAAAAAAAATCATAATTTTACGTCACGTTACACAAAGGGTCATTAAAATATTGGCTAGTGATCCTGTCAGATCAATTTTTAGCATCCAGAGCGATTTTCTCTTCCTTTTCCAAAATAGCCCTTATTGAGAGGTCAACTATCTATCCTATGGAATCCCTGATCTCACGGTTAAATAACTACCTTCTTTTTAAAACATTTAAATACTTTCTTTAATAAATTTGAATCTTGATGGATTTTTTTCATCGAATCTCTTAGATCACTCAATCACTTTCTTCTTTCTATTTTGAACTACATGAACACCAGATTAAAGAAGCCATTCCCATCCGCGTTTCATGCTTTTACGGGAAAAAGGAAGTATTACAGGATGAATTTCCCTAGCTAATTAACAATCATTATCATCATAGTAGAAAAAAAATTCAAATTCATAATTTAAACCATCATTACGAACAAATAATAAAAAATAATCCGAAAAACAACATGTCTATTGTTGATGAAAACTAAAAGCAAGAAAAATTTAACATCAATGGCCAAAAATAATTTTGGACTGGGACAAATCAATCACAAAATGACTTTTTATTTCCATGCGCAGTTCTTCATTTGGTAGCAGCTACAATTGAGCACCTGCAACATATTAATCAAGATTTAAAAGCTCTCCAAGTATGTACTACACATGCCAGGAATTTATTATTCCGTGAACTAAATGAAACCAAAAACTAGAAGCAAAATGAAGAAAAATTCTTACCTGAAGTTAGGATTTAGTTCCACTAAAACTCTTCAAATGAATTTGGTTGGCAATTCAAAACAATAAAATTCATTGAATCATTATCATCGTCAAGAGCCGGGGTTCGATATTCACTCAAGTTAATTCTGGTAATTTGGCTTCTCTGACTATCACCTTCCCCATATGTGCGAGCTTTTTGCCTCAATTCCACTTCAACGAATTCAAACCGTGATGGATCTCTAGTTGTTGAACTCAATCATTTTCTCTTATTTCTGTTACATGGCCTTCCTCTAACCTGTCGTACATCTAGCTCAAAATTCAATCTCAAAATTCAATGAAAACTCTTCACCCACAATTTCGTGCAATTTTTCATGAATATTTTTCTTCTCGTTGAGAGGCAAACGGTTGTATTTTACTTCCAATCTATTGACCAATCCTTTGAAAACTGGATCATCATTGTTATTCTTCCTAACATCAAAAAGAGATTCTCTTGTGTCAATGCGCCACTGCGGATGTATAGCTTCAATGGGTATTGTTTTTCCTTTCCAAGAATTCATCGTGTGCACAAGACAATCTCATAGTAGTCATGAAAATACCACTACATGTGATACTCATTTTGTGATTTTTCAACATCTCAAACGGTTCTTCTAACTTATCCAATGCAAAAAGGGACACTTTATTCACAATATTTCTGAAAAATGGTATACGACACTTGAGAGGAACTTGAATCCTTTCCCTAGCTAACCTTACTTTGATTTCTTTAAGATCGTTTTCAAGGAGAAGTGATACTTTCTGTTTGACAACCAACATATCACCAGTTGAGACAAACAAATATGTTTTTAATTTTGAATGTGCACCTTCAGCCCGAGATGAAGAACGTGTCCCAAAATGCAATTTTTTATCAGTCCACGCACTAACA